TATTACATATAAATAAACGAGTATAAAAATTTTAATTATAAAATTTAATGGATTCACTCTATCATTACAGCGTATGCAAATTAATTATAAATAATTATTTACAAATCTATTCATAAATAAATATTATGCTTAATTATTAATATATTGAGTAGAAATTTTAAGGCTATTCATACACATAACATTCAACAACACATAACTTTGGGTTTAAAGATCTTTTAATACTTTTATTGTTTTGAGTCTTAAGAATGTCAGAGTGTTAGGCTAGTATCGATGAATCAATGAAAAATTTAAATGATGATCTTAAGCTCTGTAAAGTTAAATTATATATACATATGTGAAGTACATTTTTAGGGTTGGAAAAAAAAAATTGTAACAATAAACTTATCTTGTTGTAATTATCAATCCGGTAAACTCCTTGATAATTAGGGGGCCGGATGTGACGGTTCGCCTATAGTACAATAGGTTTAATACCATAAGTACATAGAAAAGAAACAGGGGTTCCTATGGGTGACCGCTGCGAAAGCTGAGCTATTTAATATAAACAAACTTTAAAGTCAAGGTTCACAATAGTATACAGAGAAGACGTTACCATATATGAAATATTGACACAGAAGGGAAACTCCTTTGATGTGTTTCCAGAGTGTAGTGGACGTCACAAGAAAATTAAATAAATTAAACAAAAATATATTATATTTTATATTAACCAAATTATAGTTTACCTTTTTCTCATCAGGTGTAAAAAGGATGCATATAACACAGTTTAATAAGAATTATGAGAGCCTTTAAAGTTTTATAAATTCGATAATCAATTTAATAGAAAATACCAAAATACGTTAACATATAATTAAATTGAATTTAAAGAAAAGTTCAGTTCGAATAATAGGCTAAATCCGATTATTGAAATATCTACCCTTCGGTGACATAATCTATGACGTTACGAGGTGAGAAAAAAAAAAAAAGAAAAAAAGAGGAGAGCCGGCAGATCGGCGGGCGCGCGGGAGTCGGTTTTTAGGAATTGCGCAATAAAAAAAAAAAAAAAAAATGGACGGCAAATGGCGCGGGAGTCGTGTTTTAGGGATTGCGCAATAAAATAAAAAAAAATAACTGGGATATAGATCTAGGAGGGACTGGATCGATGAAGGGGTTTGAGATCTTAGTGTATCACTATCGATTAAGTGTGTGAAATTAATCAATAGAAGACTGGAGAATGCGGTGAGCTTGTTCCATTTATTACTACGTAGTTAGATTTTTGACTGTGATCACAGGCAAAGTCTATACTTAATATTTTTCCCAACAACTATTAAAATACGTATTTAGTCGAGACAATATACCTTTAGGTAATGCGTATATCGTTAAATGCAATCACATTTGAACAAAATTTACATCAATATAATTTACGTACTTACGTTATTCTACTCATATACAAAATCCAATTATATGGTCGTTTGATAGAACTTCATCAATTTGATTCAATGTTCTAATTGTCCAGTTTTAGAAAATACTTATTGAATCAATTATTGAACTATTACAATACTAACTAGTTTCATATCTAGTTATTATAAAGTATTTATTTATTGAGGATAATAGACTAAAGTGACTATGGTCTGGTCTCATTGCTGGGGAAACAGCCATTGATGAGAGAGAGGGGTTATTGAGTGGCGACCCTGTAAATGCAAGTGCGGTGTGGGCTACCTCCATTGTTTGGAGTGACTGTTTTATGTGTATTGTGGGGCCGTTCCTTGTGTCAGTCGGTGGAAATTGCTTGTGTTCAGTCGTGGGTTGGTGATGGTTGAGACGATGATGATGATGAAATATTTGTATTTATTACACTATTACAGTGTTGGTTTGGAATATCTGTTCATACTTAACGCTTCATGGTGAAGTGTTTTTATACCATTACTCGGTCGACCAGATTAATGATTCTTAGTCTATATTTGATTATCCATGACTACATGTGGGGATTTGTTTTACACCAGATGTACAAAGAGACAGCTTAACTGTTGCAAGTGATATTATGTGAATGTAATACTTTTAATACATTATTAATTGTGTTACTAGATAAATTCATGTGACTGTGGGGTGTTTATGGTAAACAAGCCTGTATTGTTTAAATAGATATTTTGTCTTGATTTATTATAAACTTTAATATTGATTTTATTGTAGTAAGCAAGCTGATAATAACAATTCTGTATGTATTACTGGTTTCTAATAATATTTAATTATGCTGATATTATGGGTGTGGATTTATTTCCTAATGGTAATAAATGTACTAAAGGATTCTCTGACTATAGTTATTCTTAACTAGGTATGAGGTACAGTATAAAATTAGTATTAAATGACAAGTATAAGTTATGTATTTTACTCATATTTAGGAGGAAAGTTGTCATGGCGATAAGGTTTGTATGTGTGTTGTTTGTTCATGTTATATTGACTAGACAAGTTCAGACAGGGTTAATATTAGTGAATATTTACTGGATTTATATTTAATATACATGTTTTGAATATTTTATGGGAATAGTATGGAGATATACAAGTAGTAAAATATAATATTAGTATTTTATAAATTTAATTATTGAGTTATATGTTTATGTCAGACTGTATCCAAGGAGATATTATCCTATTAATATCAAGTTAGGACAATTACTTTAAATATTAATAAAGCAAACACTAACACTGATTATTTACTTCTTTAATAAATTTACATTAGAGGTTAGAAATCAAATAGATAGCATATTGGGAAAATCTTCACCACACATGTATTTGAGGAATGTTCTTGAGAATTAGTACTGTATGTATATAGTATTGCAAGTACAATTGCAATAAGAATGTTAAACTTCTAATCTTCTGTTCATTCTTGAATTTGAAAGTAAGCTTGGCTACTGATATGAATGTAAAACTGCAGTATTACTGGATACTATTAATTATTTCTGGTGTAAACCATGATTATTTATGTCACTGATAATTTAGTTGTATGTTACGGTTGATATATGATGATTTTATATTTAATTATATTAAACAAATACAAATAAACAAACTTGCTAGTATTTGTTACGTTGACAGTCGTGATAGATAATCAAAATTCAATTCAATACATTAATACGTCATTCAATACGTCATTAATGTGACAGATGTCAAACAAAAGGAGATTATACACGTTATGATTCTATATCTAAGTCTATAGAAAATTTATATAATTTTCTATTATTTTATAATAACTGTAGGGGAAATATTGGAATTATTTATATGAGAAATTTCAGTTAAATGATATGATAATTATTTAAAGACCTAATTTCTTAGGGATTTAATCATGATGATTTAAACACTAAAACACTTGTTTATCTGAGAAATCCTCTTAGTAAATAGGTTTACTAAGACACTAAAAGGAAGTAGATATAGTATAACTATAGTACAGCTACAATAATTGTATGGGACTTACTGTCCTTTCTATACAAATATATATTTAATCTATATCTTTCACATTATAATTATGCAATATATTGCCTCTACTACTACAACATACACAAATAGGACTTATTGTCCTTCCTATATACCTATATATAATAATTGACCTGGCACTTTAATGTGTAATTTATCAGTACTTATGACAACAACCAATTAGGACTTATAGTCCTCTCTATAAAGCTACATAATTATTTAATCTGATTATTTCACAATGTGATTAATCAAACCTCTACAAATATTACAAAAGATCTCTATTACTCTCAACACAATAATAGCTTGTTGGACTTAGTGTCCTCAAACTTATAGAAAACCCAACTGGTTATTTCACGAGACGTTGTTAACTTGTGATTAATCAGTGTCTTTTAAAGGACTTATAGTTCCTTTAGATATATCTCTCTGAATAAATAATTGGTTAATTCACAATGTGGTTAATCAACAATAATATTATATATAATTGACTGGACTTATAGTTCATTCAATAGCACTCATTACTTTTAGTAGCTCTCGACCTATGGGTTGGACTACTCGTTTTTAGGCTCCGGCCTAATCAACAGATTTAACTTGAACCTTGAGTATTCTTGGTATTAAGTAAATAATATTAAATTGACAATGCTATGTTATGATATAGCAATTATCAACATTATATGGCTTGGCCAATTCCAGGGTGTGGAAGGTATCCCCCCTATCACACAAATCTTCATCTCTATCGGACTGTCTTCACAGGTGATCTCTAATGTCACATTATAGGGCCGAAGGGTTATGTCCCAACAAAGTAAGTTCTGGTGTCTGGGTGATCTCGCTTCTTGGTCTGATCTCTTGTGGAGCCGAAGGGAAACCCCCATTGAGTAAGCTCGTAACAGGGTGACGCTGGGAAACAGTTTCGTACTGTTAGTGGGTGATCTCTATGTCGCCATATAGGACTGAAAGGGTCATCGCCCATGAGTAAGCTCTCGTGTCGGAGTGATCCTGGGATTTCAGTTCCGATCCGTTTGCCTCTGGCAAACACTAATTTATACTGGAAGCATCGTGGGGCTGGTGGAGCCACTGTAATGTTGAAGTAAATGTACTTATTGTAATGTTTTAATGAAACCATCCCAATGTCAGACAACAACTGTTTTAATCATATTATTCAACTACCTTCAAACTAACTATACATGACATCTTTCCCTCTATAAAAAAAAAAAGACATAAGAACTTATATCTCCAAACAAAATATATAATTGAGTACTTATTACCTATTTGCTTAAATATATACAATTTAACTACATAGTTACTTATCTACTACAATACAAGTCTATAAACAGTAAATAGGAATATATATTTTTATTAAATCTATAGATGAAAATAAACCTTATCAAAAAATAAACATGTAAATGCAATAACAGTCCGAGTTTGTAATGCTTTAATATGTACTTCTTATATACTACTTTATAACACCTTATTGCTAAAGAAATCAATATAATGAAATATAGTAGATGTAGTATGTTTTATACAAAAACAGATATGAGTGTGTTCACTGAGAATGCATTCTATCTAATTTATTTGAGTGTTTTGGCACGTTTGCGCGTAAGCGGTGGTTTAAGAAACATACTACCACTACTGCTATTTGGTTGCGGGTTCGAACCCGGCGGTGTCTCAGCAGTGCGGTACGGTGCATCCATCGTGCCACCGATACATACGTCCGACCTTGTTTCCGATGTTTTTTGGTTTAAAACCTTAGTAACCACGGCTGGTTCAGCTTTGTTTATTTCAAACTTTACTTCCGGTGGTTCACATTTGATTAAATGACGACGATTACGTCGATATTTGGTTCCTATTTTATTTTCTATAATATAAGAACGAGGCGTATCAGCCGTGCTTACTACAGTGGCCCTAGTACGATTTTTACCATCATTACATATTACTTGGTCACCTTTTTCTAACTTGCATAGCGTTTTACAATGCCGATCATAGTATCCCTTATTGGACTTTTGCTTATAGACCAAGGTATGATATTCTGTTTCATTTACAAGTTTTGGTTTTAATATTTGTACGCTGGCCGGAAGTTTACATCTTAATCTGCGACTCATTAACATCTGTGCAGGAGAGCTTAAACCTTCTCTAGGAGTATTTCTGTAATTCAATAACGCAATTGAAAATCTCCTCCTGTCTTAATTGCTTTACTCAACAGTGACTTAACTGTTTGTACAGCACGCTCACTCTTTCCATTTGACTGAGGATAGTTGGGTGAAGAAGTCACGTGATGAAAACTCCAGTCACTAGCAAATAATTTGAACTCGCGACTACTAAATTGAGTGCCGTTGTCACTTATTAATATTTCAGGTATACCATGACGAGAAAATACTTCCTTTATATTTTGTATGACTGTATATGAGGTAATATTTTGTAAATTACATACTTCAACATAATTAGAATAATAATCTACGACAATCAAATAATATTTTCTTCTGTACTCAAAAATATCAGTACCTACTTTCGTCCACGGCAAAGGGGGTATCTCTACTGGAATCATAGGTTCCTTTGCTTGTGCATTTAAACTCTCCTGACAAGTGGTACAACGCTTTCCATGAGACTCAATGTCGCGTGACATATTCGGCCAATACATAACCTGTCTCGCTCGCCGCTTGCACCGATCTATACCGAGGTGGCCCTCGTGCACGAGCCGCAGCATTTCAGCTCGCAAACTCGAAGGTATCAGTATTATACTATCTTTAAATACTACAGAATCGACGACATATAACTCGTCCTTTATTGCCCAAAACACTTGTAATTCTATTGGTAAGTTATATTTATGGTCTGGCCATCCCGTTTTTATATACTCGATCAGTGCACATAGAATCTTGTCCTGTTTAGTTTCCTTTTTAATTAATGCCAATTTTGAATTAGATATCGGTATATTGCCCACCACCATTTGAACTTGGTACAGTACATTCTGTTCCACTTCCACACTATATAGCTCAGGAAGCGGCGCTCGAGACAGTGCATCAGGAACATACATATACTTTCCTGGCTTATAATTAACTAATAGATCATAAGTTTGTATTCTTAACAACATGCGTTGTAAGCGAGCTGGGACCGACATCAGTGGTTTTTTAAAAATACTTTCTAAGGGTTTATGATCCGTTTCCACCAATATTTTAACCTTACCATAAATATATTGGTGGAATCGTTCGCATGCAAAAACTATGGCCAGCATCTCTTTTTCGATTTGCGCGTAACGCCGTTGGGTGTCGGTGAGTGTGCGCGAAGCGTATTCGACGGGTCGGCCGGCCTGCAGCAGCACGGCTCCGAGCGCGTCGCGCGATGCGTCCACTGACAGCACTAGCGGCCGCGATACGTCGTACAATGCCAACACCGGCGCGCGACACACGCTTTCTTTTAATGCAAAAAATGATTTTTGTTCCGTATCTTCCCAACGCCATTCATTTTCCTTTTTTAATAAATTGGTTAACGGTAACGCGCTCTCAGAATGATTCGGTATAAATTTTGACAAATAATTTACCGCTCCCAAAAATCGCTGTAAACTTTTCTTATCATTCGGTTCTGGCATCTCCTTTATGGCTTTTATTTTGTTATAGTCTGGTCGCATACCGTTCTTATCAAATACGTGCCCTAAATATACAACTTCTTCTACACCCACTTTGCATTTATCTTTGTTAAATTTTAAATTTATATTTCGTGCTCGATTTAATAGTGCAACCAGCCTATCGTCATGTTCTCGTTTCGTCTTTCCCCAAACAATAATATCATCGACGAAGCTATCCACCCCTTCCAAGTCTTCTAAGAGTTGACGCATTTTCGCATGGAATACCTCTGAGGAACAATTAATTCCAAACGGTAACCGAAGGAACTGATAACGGCCAAAGGGAGTTGCGAAAGTACAAAGATCTACACTTTCCTCATCGAGTTGCACAGCCCAAAAGCCTGAGTTGGCATCAAGTACCGAAAAATAACAGGCGCCATGTAAACGTGTCGCTAACTCCGTTACTGTGGGCAGCTGGAAGTGTGCGCGCTGTACCGCGCGGTTTAGATCGCGCGGGTCTAGGCATATGCGAATGCCATTATTTTTTTTAGCAACTATAACTAATGGATGAACCCACGGGGTAGGATGATATACTTTCCTAATGATACCTAATTTTTCCATTTTTTGTAACTCTAGTAATAATCTATCCCGTATCCCTAACGGTATTTTTCTGGAAGCACATACGACAGGGCGTATGGAATTATCGACTACAATGTGATACTTTCCGGGCAGACATCCTACTCCTTGAAATAAGTCACTATAATCTGTTAAATTTATTCCATAAATTCTTTTTACTAATTTCATTAATTCACATGATTTTCGGCCCAGCACGCTTTGACAATCATTGTCTGCTATCGCAAATCTCAAATTATATATAGTATTTTTATACACCCACTTCATGCTGCATGTACCTTTAATAGGTATTTTATCCCCACTGTATGCTTCTAGCTTTATATTAGTATTTTTAATATCACATTCATTATAACCTAGTTCTATGAATCTCCTGTATGATATTACATTTATGTCCGCCCCTGTGTCCAATTTAAAATTTTCTTCCCCGTTCGTACAAGTCAAAATTTCAAACCACTTTCCTGATTCACTTTTGTTATCAGTAATTACTGATATGTGAAACGATTCTTCCTCGTCTGACTCGGTATTCGCTTCTTCTTCGCCGATTTCGTATACGTGCCTAACTCTGCCACTGTTGAAATTAGTATTGTAACCAGACTTACATACTCGAGCGAAGTGTCCTCGTTTACCGCATACAAAACAAGTGGCATTCTGAGCCGGACACTGCTTCTGCTGGCAGCGCACCCTGGCACCGCAGCCAGAGCAGGGCGCGGCGTGCACAGGCGTGAACCGACCGTCGGCGCGGCGTGGCGCCGGCGCGCGGCCGCTCGGCCCGCCGGCGCGCCGCCCGCGGCGCCCGCCGCTTCCCCGGCACTGCTCAACACTATTCACTTGTACACACTCACTACCACTGACAGTGAAACAATTCAGCTGCCGACCGCTCTCCTGTGATGTTTCCTCGGCGATGCACAAATTCATAGCTTTTTCCAAGGTCAAATCTTCGTGTCGTAATAGCCTATCCCTGACAGTCGCACTGCGTACCCCACATACTATACGATCTTTAATCAAATCCTCTTCTAGCGATAAGAATGCACACTTCTTGCTAATAAGACGTAACGCCGTCACGTACTGTTGAATGCTTTCACCTTCTTCCTGATTTCTCGTGAAGAATTTATATCTAAGTAATGTAATATTTTCTTTAGTTCCAAAATAACTATCGAATTTTTTTAGTACTTCATTTACGTCATCTTTATCTGTATCTTTAGTAAAAGTGAAAGTTTGATACACGTCAAACCCCTCCGGACCGATCAAATTTATTAGTAAACTGGCTTGTACTGCTGAATTCTCGGAATCCACACCCGAAGCCTTGATAAACAGCAGGAATTGTTGTCGCCAACGCCTCCATGCATCGGCACGACTCACAGGGCCTCCCTCCATATTTAATTCGGGCGGTGGTCGCGCGTGCTCCATTATGCCGTATAACAAAATATCCACTCACGACTAGTTTTTTATGCAAATTTATATTTGTTAAGTTTAATCTTTATTTAAATACGTTATTTATAACACTTTTATCAAATTTATACACGTATTTATGATATACCGCTGCCACCATGTAATGTTTTAATGAAACCATCCCAATGTCAGACAACAACTGTTTTAATCATATTATTCAACTACCTTCAAACTAACTATACATGACACTTATGTTTGGTTTGGAACTGAGAATACTCATTCCCTTATTACCATCAGAGTGCATTAATAAATAGTAATACCCTTCCCTACCTTTTTGGAGGAAGAGTTATAGATAGTTGGAAAGTCTTCCACTGGTCCGGGCGTGTGAGGGGCCCGACCGCTCCCCCATTTTTTTTATTATTACAGTTATTCTGTAATTTACTATTAAATTAATATATTATATTCTAACTTCCTAGTTACATGAATTATGAGTATAATTCATTAATTATTCTTAATCCTTAAATATTTATCAATCATCTTCATTATTTAACTCCTATCATATACCAATTAAGGAGCCTTTTGGTTATTACACACACAACGGGTCCTACATTACTAGACGATCACACATTTATTTATCTGGTCAGATGATCAAGTGTTCTACTATAAGATCTGTTCAATATTAAGTGTTTATTGTAAGGGTTTATATGATTCATAGGATGTTTGGGGTGTATAAGGCAATATAGGTATGGGGTTATATTGAGGGTGTTAGGCCATTCTTTAGGGTAAGTTTCATTAGATTTTCATAGATTTCATTAGGTTAAGCCTTCGTAGGCTTTTCTTAGGCTTTGTAGGTTTTCCATGTGTAGGTTAGTTTAGAGGGTAGTTAGATTATTTAGGGTGCACACAGGGGGGGACCATCACAAGTGTGTTTTTACCATTCTAAGTAGTGTGTTGTTAAATAGTTTATTTTAAAAATAATTTGTGTTACATTTTATTGTATCAATTACAAAAATAATAAATGCAATTAATTTTAATTTTATCAAAAGGCTAAGCAATCTCTTCCATACAATCTTTGGGTAAAGAACATTGGTTTTTTTATGCAACTTAGAATAGCAACAAGAAAGTACGAGTAGTAACCGTCGCCTATAGACATGAGCAGTACCATGGACATAACATAGTATACTGTTTCGCCCATTATATCTCCCATGCGCTGAGGACTCGGGTGTTATTCCTCTGTACCCTGTAAACTCACTGCCATATGCCACCCTTCAAACTAAAACACAGCTATGTAAACACAACAACAAAGTGTAGGTGGCACACTATTACACGAACTTACTTGTTAATTTGGATATGTTATTTTTACTGGCGACAAAAGAATGTTGCCTAGAATATTTCCACCACTTTATAAGGCGTCGTCCTTATCGAAAGACAAAATTGCTCTCACCTAGAACTTTTCTTAACTAGTAATCCCTTGATCGCATTTTTGGGTTTCGGGCATTTATCTTGCCACGTCAGCAATGTACTTACTGTAACCCGCGTGACGCCTCAGTAAACCTTGGGTCTAAAGAAACACGCGTTGTTAAATGCGATAAAGGGAATTTAGGAAGGGGGAAACTATTCATTCTTCGCTGACCTGCAAGTTTGTCCGCGTGACCGGGATAAAAAGTGGCGTAAACGTTCTTCGTTATTCTATATACTCATTTTATGTCAAATTTAATGACGATATTTATTTAATTTTATAGGATATCTTTATTGCACATAAAATGGAAGTGCCCATAAAATATTAATACAGAATCTACAAATACTAAAAATCGTTAAAATAAATTTGTTATAGACAACCTGATTGACTTACAGGAATAAGAAGTGCTACATAATCAAACTAATAGCCAGGCTTTCAAGCTACGACATCTTGTGTTATGAGAAATTAGGCAATAATCGTCTGGGAGCACCATGAACACCGAGACCAGAGCCAATTCATAAAGTTTCGTTTCCTAAACTGATTTGTTCAGAAATCGAATCCGGGACCTCATTTAAACAAAGCAATATGCTTACTGCGCCACGAAGGTCATCAAGACACTAATATATTATGATCATTTAATACAGACAGATGAAAAACATGTAGTGAGAAATATTTAACGCTTGCCGGAACATTAAAAGGCAGACCGATCTACTACCTAGTGGACCGGTCATGGACAGTATAGCAAAACTTTTATTAGAAAACTAATTGTTCAACCCAACAATCTAATCTAAGACAAAGCATTCTGAAGCAATAAAATTAGGAGAGCCGACCCCACATAAAGTGGGAATAAAATAGGGTCAAGAAGAATACCTGGAAGCAGAAAATTTTATAATAATGTTGAAATTAGATTTTGAATCGATTTAAATTGTAAAATATCTCGCTTAAAGCTTTTATGTATCTAAATATACCTTTTAGTATAAACATTAACCACGGAAGTATTTGTATTTTTCCAGAAACTGTTATATATTATACGAGTATAAAATCCTGACCCGTTTTGTCCTTTTATTTATCAAAGGTGTTTACAGATCCGTTTCTATCGGCCTTAAAAAGACGTAGCCGGTTGGATTAAGATTATAATAAAAAAGTGTGGGAAAGAACAAACGTTTTGATATAAATTTAGAGTTCCGTTGAGAAATAATAATCATAACTATCTAATTTTTATTATCCGTATTTATTAAATCATAACTTTTCATTATATTTTATACACTTAATTTGCTCTTAGATAAAGGAGTTTACTTTTAGATAATCAGATGGTTATCTAAAAGTAAACTCTAAACTAAATCTTCGTGTAAAAAAAGAAATATAAATAATTTTCGAAATAAATGTCTAATAACAGATTTATACGTATTTTCGTTTTGAAATAGAACCATAGACAAAACAGATAATATTTTATTCCATAGTGTCGACCGAAGTGGCGTAGTGGAATATATAACTTTGAAAAGTTGGTAGTCCAGAATTAATCTCATTAAAGTCCCAACTGTTATAAGTCTCAGCGCACCATGAATATTCCCGTACACTAACAGGTTGCGCTGTTGCAGTTTTTGAAACTTCATCTGTTACAGAATTGCTTTTAAAACACTGTTTATGTTTGAAATTTTGCTTTCATTGGATGCAGTTAAACGGCTCTTTTCAGGGTACTTGTTCTTTTAATAGTTTTTGCAAATAATCGGTGTATTTTCTTTATATCATCATCGTCATCTCAGTTATTATATATTTACTGCTGAACATGGGTCTCTACCATAAACTGCCTGATAAGGAACAGTCCTGAGTCACCTGCGTTCACTCACCGCCTTTAATGCAATTTAGGTAGTCACTCCATCTAGTGGGGGTCGTCCTACACTGCGTTTGTCTGTACGGGGTTGTCACTCAACATTGAATTTTTTTTCCTTTCGGTTGTTGGTTCTTCGAGCTATGTGACCAGTTGGCCACGATGGGCTTTACCACTTCAGATTGCTTATCTATCAGGCTATGTTGGTGGCTTTAGTTCTTTTGCGGATATCTGTTTTGTTTATATAGCATATTATAAACAAATTATATAAACATTATCAGTAGTAGCAAATATTAAATTGCAAAAATGACTCAATGTCAAGACAAATTTGTTTATTATCTCTTGATGCTTTAACGACTTAATCGATCGCCACGAAACTTAATATAAATTTACAAATTATAATGACGAAGAGTTTTATTATTATAGAAGAGTAATATTATTATTATCATTAATTTTTATTCAAGTTTTAGTAAAGTTACGTAGACAAATTCACGACTAGAAGCTAATCATATTATAAATGAGAGTTGTGAGGAAATATTAGCTAGTTGTAAAAAAAAATAGAACTAATCTGAATCAATTTCTGTAGTTTCAATTATTTCTAAATCGTCAGCGTGCCATTCCAACTAGATAGGTAATAAAAATGTTCAATATCAAACATCAAATAATGTAATAAATTGAACTTTGCGATGGACTTTCAATGGCCATTACATTTATATAAGACTACTTTGTTCCTTAATAGTAAGATTGAAATTCAAGTGGAAGCCTTTTGTGAAATGTCTTTCAATACAAACAATTTAAGGTTGATATATGACTGCAAATGGCCTTCTAAAAATTGAATTTTCAGTATTGCATTATAAGATTTCATATTTTATTTATCTTTTTGATTTTTAGGGCTATTTGACATCGCAAAATACAAGATCCACAGTTCCCTTTACACGTTGCTACTCTTGAGGGCTAAGATATTATGCCTTCGAATCTTATAATTTTACTGGCATGTCATCTTTTATATTGAAACACAGGCATCCAAGCACAGCTACTTTATGGTAAAAATACAGATGGGACAGAGATTCCCATATTGACAATTTTCGTTTAAAGTCTGGTTCTCTTTAAAGTTTTTAAATAAACCTTTGTTAGAATTTAATGGAGTGAACATAGACACGAGCAAAAGTTTTTTCACTTACATTATTATAACTAAATCACTAAGAATATAGGTAAAGAACAGATTTACATAAATTCCATTAGGATATTCGGATTTTTATCTAATTTATAAGTAAGCTACCATTAAAAATAACTTACTTATTTTACTAGAGATATTCCTAATTTTGAGAAAAGTCTGGAATAGAAGTGATTTAAAGTTAATTAATTAGTAATTCTAATGTAAGTACTCATATTGTGAGCCGTAGCCTAAAAGAAATTGTATATGTCAGGGTAATTAGTGTGACGGATAAGTTTTTTATGAAGCGTAATTATTTTTTAATTATTTTATCTATACTTGGCTTGCCTTTACTCGACTCGAAAATAAGTACGTGTTTATATAATTTATAATTGTAAAATTAATTATAAAATATTAACTATAATAAGTAAAGAGAACAATAACGTTACGATGGGTAAGAAAGGCTCTTGAGGTGACCCCGCACGGTCAAAAGCAGTGTAGGACGACTTCCGACTAAAGGGAATGAAAATATAATAACTCTATGGCTTACATCCAGCAATGGACGGATAATGTTAACCCCGCCAGCACTATCGGTATATATGTTAAGCTGGCACCGGTGAGGGATGATAGACAAGGATGAAGGGATGTCGGTTTTCCGAAGGAACCACATGGAGGTCGTCTTGATAAAGCAATGGAGTCACTATTCTCTATTACTAGCAACCTCTTCTTTTTTATAAATTAAGATTTTGTTACTACTACTTATACTTCGCATATTATATTTATTAACGACATTCACCATCGCAAAAAAATTATATTAATATAAAAAAATGGTATCTGCCAGATTCGAACTTACGTACTGTGATGTTTTTTGTTTTGCTCAAATACTAAGCCTTATTTAAGTACATATTTTTATTTGCAGTATTGCGTTTCCTTTGATAAGAACGACAAACACATTTAAATGTCAAGCGACGCTTTGAAAAACGCATTTAATTAAATGCTCAAGATTATATGAATTAAGTAAATAACGTTATATTGGACCCCACTCGACACTGCGCCCGTATTAAAAGAGATCCAGTCTCTTTAAGTGTGGCCACAAATAACGCTTTTCAAGCGATTAACTGATGTTGGTATAAATATAATTTAAAACTAATATTGCGCTCATAAATTCGTATTTCGCATATACATTGGCTATACATACATCATCATCTCTGCTATTATTTGGCCACTGTTGTACATAAGCCTTCCCTATAGACTGTCATAAGGAACAGCCCTGATTTACCTGCATCCACTGACTCCCTGCAATGCATTTGAGGTCGTCACTCCATCTAGTGGAAGCTCATCTTACACTGCGATTGCCTGTACTGGGTCGCCACTCAAGAACCCTTCCTTGCTTATCCTTCAATTAAACATACACCTATCTACTTAGAAATGATTTTCAGTGTGGATAGTAAGGGTGTGTAACGTGTAGAGTATACTTCCACTAGTTATACTTATTCTAATCATCTTGATAATTATAATGGTGTACTGCAAACTATCTCGACTTATATTTCAAAAAAATTGAGCTGCAATTTTGCCCAAACTCTAAAAATATTGTGAGAAACATTTCTGTCCCCACCCGAGAATACGAGCGGAGCTCTTTGCGCAAAAATACCTAAGTCCGTCATTGTATGTTTAATCTTTGTAATATATCTAATATAAAGTAGGTATAATCATTTTTTTTAAAACAATACATGTCTGACAGTCTGTCATGTCTTTCCTAGTAATTTTTTTTTAAATATGTCATTGCCTGACAACATGAAGCTCTGTTACCAATCACATTAATTCAAGCAACGGCGGTATGCTTAATCCCTGTCGATGTGGGTTCTAGTATTACTTTCACCATAATATTGATAATATTTTCTTACTTCCTTCTTAAAGCTTACAGTTGTAAGCATAATTAATTTTTATATATTGAAGTATCCTTAATTTTTTTTTATACAACTTAGAATGGCGAACAAGCTGACGGCCCACCTGATGGAAAGTGGTAACCGTCGCCTATAGACATGAGCAGTACCATGGACATAACAGAGTATACTGTTTCGCCCATGATACCCCCCATGCGTTGCCATTCCTGAGGACTCAGGTGTTATTCCTCTGTATTCATTTTTATTTTTAATTTCAGTATATTTTTTTATGATATGACATCATTCATATATATAGTCAGATATAAGTCTATTGTCTTATTCGTTCCGCTATTTCCATGGCCTTAGTTGTAAACGCGAATAAAGAGGGTAATGTTTTTAAGCGCTGCGCTACGAACGTTCATTGTTTGCTCAAGAATGCGTGAGACCCCGCGCCTTGTGCGACTACAGAAAACATCATCATCTTAAAATTTTATTGATATGCGTTTAAATAAAGCATGGTATTCAGATAAAATTATATATGAAATTGTAATATCAACTATATTGCTCTTCATACGCTTTCTCTTTTTACCTAATGGTTAGCTGGTAGAGAATGCCATATGGCATTAAGTTCGTCATTTGTACAATAAAGAATAAATAAATTTATATTTTACTTTTGTTTTTACAAAATCTATACATGAAGAATTTTAATTAGTTGGCAATAAGGAAAATAATTTTCGGTTTGAAGGGTGGGATATGACAGTGAATTTACAGGGTATAGAGGAATAACACCTGTGTCTTCAGGAATAGTAACGCATGGGGAGTATCACGGGTGTACACAGTACTCTGTTTTGTCCATGGTACTGCTCATGTCTATAGGCGACGGTTATCACTGTGAACTTGTTTGCCATTCTAAATTCTATAAAAAAAATAAGAAATTATTGCGTATATTGAATAAGGACAATTTTCTTAACATAATCTTAATAATAATACCGTATACTGAATATGGATCAAAAAAGAAAGGTATCATGCTGATCATTCAGCCTGGTTTCGAGTTTTAATTAAATTATCCTTTTTATATTAATGTTTTTTGTTCTGTTAATTACTTTTTACGTATCTTGTGGAGAAAATACACTTATTAAAAGTATAACAAATGTCTTTTCGTCTTTAGGATATAAATTATAATTAAAACAGTTTTTTTTATTTTCATCCATAATTTGTTACCATTAGTATAATAATAACATTATATACGTATTAGACAATCATTTAGTACGGTCCAACGTCTCTTGGGTGGTATGAAAAAATAATTAGATATACGTGACGGCAGCCCTAGAGCATGACGTCAGAAAATAAGTCAATTTAGAAAGTTCACAATTTGTTGTGGCCGAAATTCAAACCCATCAAATTTCACTTCGCAAGACAACGAGCTTCATCATAGCAGGTTTTTATTATTTTCCTTCTTCTTACGTTTTTATTTCCGTGATTTATCGTCGTGTTAAGAACGTGTCAGATCGTTCCCGTTTCCTGACTAGAAAGAATGAATAGAATATTACAAAAATTGCAAGTAAATCAAAGCTCACACGAATATATTCCGGGTTCTTGCAGATTAAGAATGAATATAAATATTATTTTATACCTATGGTATGCCAGAGACCCACATTGGCTTTACGTGAATGCACTTTATTAAAATAGATTTAATTTATACATTTATAGCCTGGTATTGTCAGAGAGTACCATCTTATATTAAGTATACCATAATTATACATATGTTCGTACTGTACATAAAAATTTAAATACATAAAAAACCAATAATTTTATTAGGATATTATTTATTTATTGAACTGAACGGTATATGAAATATATAATGTAAAAGTTTAGCTCGTCACCATATGATGTTAACCGTATTTAACCATAGATAGGAATAATAAAAAATGCTATTCACTTATTTGTAAAAAGAGCATATCAACTTAAAACGCACTTAATAGAACTCATCTCGATAAAGCAAACAATCTCGGAGCTTAGTAGAAGAGAAATAATCGAAAAGGGCAAAGGAATTACAAAAACTAATAAACGTAATAAAAAATAACGGCGTACAAGGCAATTACACAGTATTACTCGCGTGATATTAAACCGCTGCGAGAGAAATGCTTGACTTAGCAACAAAGATTTGCTTCCATTTGTTTTTATTGCCATTCTTCATGTACAAGTGATAAATTAATGAACATTCAGTTAATTTGTTCATATCATAAAAAAATGTTAACTATGTATATAAAATTTATAGACATTAATCTGAGAATAAATTATCTTATGGATATATTTTACATGGGATACTTAAGCCAAAATTGTTTTTTTTTTGTTTTAGTTTGTGTATTTGTAGGTTTGTTTGTTTGTTTGAATGTTAGTGTTTTATGTATAGTTATATTAAGATAAAAATGGGTGTACATACAGAAAGTTTGAAAAAAAAAATGCTTGATCAGACTTTCAATTGTTAATATTTTTAAAATCATCCATTATCAAGTAGAACATTGTCTTTACTAGAAAATTATGTGGCGTTAGAAATAAAAGTGTAAGTGATGGAATATAATGTATAAATACACAGGACATAGTTAATATTCTAATATTCCTTTTTACGTAAAACAATATGAGTCTGTAATTGCTGTAATAATATTATGTGTCATTTAGAGCGTGTAACGGAACGGGTATAGCAAGCCGAAATCCTGTAACAGTATCCGTAAATTATTTGCCATAGAATATGGGTTAAAACACAAAAATAATTTTTGAATCTTTCGAAGGTAATAAATCGATCACGTAACCGCAAGGTTTGTATTGGAAGTTCAAAAAAATTTTCATTTTTCGACCTAATTTATTGAGAAAAGTTATTTGATACCTCAAACAATCTCTCTGAAACTCGTCTTTTTATACAATTTATGTTACAAGTCTTGTTTTTATGTAGAGTCATGTGGGGTAAACGTACGCATTTTTTAGTTAATTGCTTCCAGAATAAAAGATTTTGATAATTGAAAAGAAAAAAACTTTTATTTTAACGTTAAAAACATTTGAGAAGAAAAACAAAATGTAAAATTTCAATTCTAACAATAACTATTAGTTTCATTTAATCATTTAATGAACAAGGGAAACGCGGGTTTTTACCCGCATCGGCGGGAAAGTATCCGCACACCTTCGGTTAAGTGTACGCACGTAAACTTAATTTGCTATTGCACAAAAATCACATGTGAATGTACCCTCTTCGTAACTTGTACAGGCGTCGTGCCATCAAGGTAACAAATATAACTTTATGGCTTTGTATCTCCTTAACGTCTACTGTGCTTATAGAGTTCAAAGAAGGTATATTTCGAGCTATAGCATCAGCAGATAGATTACACATATCAGTAACTGCAGATGGTGCAAATTCTGCTTCTGTAAATAAATCGTCTTCCACGCACAACCATTCTTTGGAATCAACTTCCAGCAGCAGTATTTCCGAACCGATACGACAACATTATCTTCAAGAAAAGAGTATATTCCTTTTTAAAAGGCCGGCAGCATACCTGCAATGCCGCTGGTGTTGTGGATGATCATGGGCGGCGGTACTCACTTACCACAGGGGGCAAACGTGCATGCAGCTCGCATGGTCGTTTGCCCCCTGTGTTGTAAAAAAAAAGGATATATTCCAGTCATCCTGAATGCTCAAGCTGCGTTACCTACAGTAGCAATTTTTTCAACGCTCTGTCGAAAATAGAAGTTACTTGGTATTGATTAATAGATCTATCAGGATGCTGTGCCATCCATTTATCAGCTTCAAGTGCGTACTGATTTTTTAGAGGACTGTAAATGGTTCTATCCAAGGGTTGTATATTGTGACTACTGTGAGGTGGCAATGTAAGTACAACGATGTTATTCTCTCTGCAATACAGAGTAGCTTGCAAGCTAATATGGCTTGAATGATTGTCAATAATCAGTATTGGTGAAGTGCATTCCTTAAAGTGTACCAGCCACTGAAAATATAAGTCCGCGTTGGTGAATCCGGAATCAGATGTCATGCCAATGCTACCAGCCGGAGCTCCGTCCATAAGTTCACCCTTCATTCTTTTTCGAGGCAAAATAAATGCAGGCGGCACATAATTTTCAGTTGCATTAACACAACAAACTACGGTTATAGTTTGACCACGTTCTCCGGAAACAATTTTGTCAACTAGAAGGCAAACAAATATGACTGGGTAAGTATATGCATTTTAAGTAATGCGGACACTTACCCCTGGACACTTACCCCATTCCATTAAAGCAAATAAAAATAATAAAATTTCGAAGTATGACTTACCTTAGACAAAATAAATAGATTCACACAAAATATTGAATAACTTCTGTTCTCAGTCACTTTATTATACAATCAGACTAATAACATTGCTTCAGTAACTATGCAAATTAATTTTAAAGAAAAAAATAACAAATCCGTGCAAAAGCAATATTGCTGTGTAAGTTTCTACAGCATTGTGCAGCAAACCTGTAACGTAGTACTCTCGCTTGGTGGTCAAGTGCTAACTAAACGCGATAGGTCTCGACCTGGTGTCATCCATGGGGTTCGCAGAATGTTCACTGCGGACACTTTTTCGCCGCGTACGTTTACCCCACATGACTCTACTGTTTTTTTTTTAGTAAATGCAAATTATATGTTATGTATTGATTATCAAATTTTAATAATCAATAAATCCTACTACTAATTGTCTTGTTGAGTATCTACTTAATACTTCATTTTACTTTGTGTACACGCATGATATTGCTTATTGTATGTGACTACACAGTCTATAAGTTGAACAAATGTATATAGAGTTAATTCTTTTTTTTTTCTTTTTGATGGGTGAAAATGGTGAGGTAATCCCGCCTGCGCTAACGGGATACGGCTGACAGAGTACCAGTGAAGGGTGATAGATGAGAAGCCAGTTAGCCCATCATGATGAATTCATCAGGAATTAACCATGATAGTTTCCAGGGAGAACCGCGAGGAGATCGACCTGGTTGGGTATATTGCTAGCAATGGGATTCTCAGTCTTCATTACTAACAATCCCTTTCCTCCCTATAGAGTTAATTAAAATAGAAATATTTGCTATGAGCTGGTTAAATGCACACTAATGCTACAATTTCAAGTTTCATTAGTATGCAGTTTAAATTATATATATACGAATGTGGCATATATATGAAGGGCAGCGTTCTTAAATGATTAATTTTAAATTTTCAACTCACTTCAAAATGTACGACAAGTTCAAAGTGTAAAATTTCCGAACTTTCGACCGAAACTTCGATTTTGTCACTTCGTTGTAGACTCCAAAATTCAAGCTGTTCAAACTTATATATTTTGCCAACGTCTGCAAGAAAAGCTTTACAGCTAAATACAGTGTGCACCAATTGTTTAAATTGATGGTAAATAATGAATTTGATGAGGAAGAAGAAAGATTGCTCTCCATTATTCTTAGAATAATTAATTAAAACGTCTTCTTGCAACTTGCTTAATTCCAGAACAAATAAGGAAATAAAGTCGAACCGAGTGGAAATAGGGGGATTATAACTATCCTTTTGTTCCGTTCACTTCTAATTGGACAAATGTAGTAGCAATTAAAACTGGATTTTGTTTCAATTGACAGCTGCTGTAATACTTAAAGTCAGTTGCCCTAATGACTTTTATCAAATTATTATGTCTGTTATTCAGAATAATAAATGAAAATGTTCCTTTTTGCATACTGGCGTAGCATTTTATACTGCTAGCCATAGTTCTTTCTTCATGAGAGAAAGATATTATGCTACTACCATGGCTCAGCCAGCAGCTAAAAATACAACGAATTTATAAAAACACGTTATTCAGAATATAATGTTATATTCTAGTACGCATATTACAGTATAATATAATAATTTACAGTATATTGTTGTGGTCACGCCATAGAATGGGCTACCCCTTCTTTTCCCGTGGGTGTCGTAAGAGGCGCCTAGGGAAACTTAATGATCAAGGGATGGAAAGCAGTGTCCCTTTTAAAAAATCACCAAAACCTAACTGCGGTTGCCAACCAGCCTGCCAAGCGTGGTAACTACTGGAAGAACTTCCTAATAGGGAGAAGCCTTTGTTCAGCAGTGGACAGCTAACAGCTGAAAAAATAATAAATAAATAGTAATATATAAAACAACAAATTGTAGTATCGCACTATTTTTCGATAATTTTATTATTTGCAATTAAATTAGCTGTACTATTTTTTACATGTAAATTAGAAATATTGGTTATATATGAATTATTATAGAAATATTATTCATTTTTATCAGAATTTATTAGTTTATTGTTACAAGTATTACATTTTCCACCTAAAAAGCTCGAACAATATTTGGTTACTGAGGTTTTGAATTACTATTATTGGGGAAAGGCACACCCGATAGCCAATATTCCACCTTTTCACAAATATAATCCACGTTTAAACTATGTATAGGTCGAGAGAATTCCAACGGGATTAGTAAATTGGGTTTACAAAGTTATAAAATATCTCTGATATAGTAATTAAGTTACATGAACATCGATCTTGCAGGCTACGAAAATCCTTTATAAGTTTTATTTATGCAACTTAGAATGGCAACCAAGCTGACGGCCCACCTGATGGAAAATGGCAACGGTTGCCTATAGACATAAGCAGTACCATGGGCATAGCAGAATATACTGTTTTGCCCATGATACCCCTCATGCGTTGCAATGTCTGAGGACTCAGGTGTTATTTCTCTGTACCCTGTAAATTTACTGCCATATTCCACCCTTCAAGCCGAAATTATGCAAACAACCGCTTTAAGGTAGAAACACGAATGGGACAAAAGTACCCAATCAAATGACTTTTGTACAAAATCTCCCTCTGGTAAGTCTATAATATGATGACATTATTGAATGATTACTGTACAAACTCGCTCTGATAACCTAATACGTATTTTATCATATAAAATTCCCGAGTGATAATGTCATTCACATTAATCTTCGAAACTCGTCAGTTGATTTTATTCGAAGTTTGTAACTTTTTATTATTTTCTTCTTCTTGGAATGTATACTACAGTTTTATTTTGATAAGATAATATGGATTCGATCAGTAGGTGTAAAACAAAGTATGTTGGGTCAGCAAGTGTTACTCGTATTGGTTATTCAAACAAGCAAATACAAAAATTTCCACAACGTTAACACTCAGGTACATCAAAATATTGACACTATCATTCAAATAATGGATATTTTCAAATGTTTTATCCTATTTTTAGCAACGTTACAGTTCGTTGATATCAAACTATACCGGAAGGTATTTATAGACAGCGTTTTCCTTTTATTTTACTTTTCAAATCACGTTTCAGTCAGCAAATGTGCTCGTTTTCCATTGACCGTGTTAAGGTTGCCAAATGCCAGACCACTGCTTATATCGACACGTGGCCGTAATAACTAATAAGGTTGATACTACAACACGCCGCTGCTCTTTATAGTTTAGTTATATCAAGAAAACTCTTGATAATGTATGATGCAGATGAAATACTCCATACTTCCACGAGGTCAGTTAGGTAGGGGGAACCGAGTACGAACAGCCTGTCTCCGTATATACTCGTAGGTACATCTCTTGTGTAATAATGTTTTATAATTAGTCGCATATACACGAACAATTTTTAAGACACTTATCTCCTATCTCAGATAGTTATAGCCTATTTTCATATAGTTCAGACATAGTTGTTTAAGCTGATCCATATGTACTAATGAATTCGTACCTACTTTTACTATAATTTCCAGTGCTAAGTTTGTAACAATCGTGGTTATGCAATAAGGTTATTATTATTTGATCATATCACAATCAAAATATAAGTAAAAATATATACGTAAAGTAAGAAATCTCTACTATTCTTATCTTTGCACATAACATTATATATTTGTTATTTATATAAATTTAAGTATGTATATTAATTAATGTTAGTACCGCACTCGGGCATTCTCACATCCCAAAGGTCGCCTTGTAGATAATAATTTTTGCATTAATTTCATCTTGTAGTAAATAATAAATATATTTTACAGAATTTGTAATAAAAAATCAACTTACAGGTCATGGAAATGAAAGTGATAACAATCACTTAAGAGACATAAACATCATGTCAAGAAATATATTATAACGCCCTTTACCAACACATCATGCGTAGCCGTTTCTGAGAATTAAGAGGTGTTATCATCGTACTCTTTAAAGACAAGAAGTATGAATGAATATAAGAATTGGATGAAAATTGAAAAGTATAGTGATGATTTTCGTAGTCTCTATTGAGTATAGAAGAATGGAAGCAGTAGATAAAACTAGAACAAATTAAACTTAGATACTTTATAATACTTGTAGTGGCGAACAATGTTAGATACTTGAAATTGTTTTGCACTGAATTACCTAGATTTGTATTTTGAAGTTGGACTAATCTAACTTCAAGGAGAAGTTAGACTAGTTGAGTGAATCTTTATTTTTCTAAATTTTGTTTATAATTCTAGTATTTTTTTCGTTGTTTGTTAGCTGTCACTAACAATTTTGTACATTGTTCATGTATATTTTTTTAAGTCTATACATTTCTATATACTGATTTTTATCAATGCTATTTTAGTCTAATTTCAATTTTATCACACGAGTTTGTTAACCTTAGGTAGACTTAGGCATTAGAGTAATATTAATTTGAAAATAGAGCTTAATTCCAAATTGGTTTAGAATAGAATGTTGAAACACTTAGAAATTGTATAGAATTACTTGTTACCTACAACTTCATTTTCTCAATTTAGAATAAGCCTTGGTGATGGAATATTTAAATTTGTCTTTTGTTAATATACGGTACCTAGACTTCTATAAAATAAGGACAAAAATAATAAGTCTTACTCATATAACCAATATACTTGTATTAATTTAACATACACATATTATCTACCCACGGCTTAGTCCGCATGACAAGTGTTGTATATTCACTGACGAGGACAAAAATTCCTTTTTCATCCCATATATTACACGTATACCAAATTTCACAGTGATAGATTGAGCCATTAATGTGTCAAGGGGCAACAAACAAACAAACTCA